CCCCAAAACCCCAAAACCCCAAAACCCCAAAACCCCAGATATTTTTGCAAAAATTGGATATTTTAATATACACTAATGGAAGACACAAAAGTGCAAATAGAGACTCACTTTACGTTCAATAATGGGGTCAAGGTCCCCAAAGTCGGCCTAGGCAGCTACGGTATGAATACAGCAGATGAGATATACACAGCTGTTGCCGAATGTGGCTACAGACACATTGACACAGCCAGCTATTACTTCAATGAGGAGGTTATTGGTGAAGCACTTCAAAAGGTCTACAAGGAAACTGACATCAAGCGCCAGGACCTCTTCATTACTTCGAAGATTTGGGGACATCAGAAGAAAGATGTCAGAGGTGCAGTCACTGAGTCGCTCGAGAAGCTCCAGACTGATTACCTGGATCTCTATTTGATCCATTGGCCAGTGGCTTATGAAGAAGCTGAGGACGGTACCAAAGTGCTGGCTAAGATCCCCAACCATGTGGTTTGGGCTGAGCTAGAGAAACTGGTTGATGAAGGAGTGATTAAGAGTATCGGAGTGTCAAACTTCAATGTACAGAGCTTACTAGATATGCTTGCTTACTGAAGAATCAAGCCTGTTTGAAATGAAGTTGAACTCCATCCATATCTTGTTCAGGATGAACTAGTCAAGTTTATGAAAGATAACGAGATAGTCCCTATTGCATTCTGTCCACTTATCAGAGGAGGCCAACAAGAGCGTAGAGCACCCAAGGATGTTTTCAAGCTAGACATAATTCAAGAGCTTGCCACAAAATATGAGAAAACTGCTGGACAGATTTTACTAAACTGGGGTCTTCAAAGAGGACATATCGTGATCCCAAAATCTTCCAAGAAATCAAGACTTGTGGAAAACTTGGACTGTAACTCCTTTATTTTGGATCAAGAGGATGTAGATAAGTTGACAGCCCTTAATTGCGATTGGAGAATTTGCACTACCAAAAACTACGATTTCTGATTTAACTATGACGTTTTTGCGTAACCAACTTGCAAATAGGTAACCATCACCTAATCATAGAAAATTCAATGGCTAATAACAACATTGGGGTTTTGGGGTTTTGGGGTTTTGGGGTTTTGGGGTTTTGGGGTTTTGGGG